GCTCAGGGCTGCCGTGTCTCACCCACCCCGAGGGTGAGGGTCGGTTTGTTTGGAAATAGAGTTGTTCCTGTTCCCATCATCCACGGTGTCAGCCCGGTTCAGTGTCCTGGGCACAGCAAGGACGGGACAATCTGGGAAAAACGAGCGGGGTTGGGACTGATTTGGGGGGAACGAGGAGGAGCCAGGACGGGCCGGTGTCCCCGGTACCATGTGGGGTCACTGATGGTGCTGTCCCCATTTCCATCCCCTTCTGCTGAGCTGTTGGGATGGTTGGGACTGATTTGGGGGGAACGAGGAGGAGCCAGGATGGGGTGGTGTCCCTGGTACCATGTGGGGTCATCGATGGTGCCGTCCCCATTTCCATCCCCTTCTGCTGAGCCATTGGGATGGTTGGGACTGATTTGGGGGAAGTGAGGAGGAGCCAGGACGGGCTGGTGTCCCCAGTACCATGTGGGGTCACCGATGATGCCGTCCCCATTTCCATCCCCTTCTGCTGAGCTGTTGGGATGGGTGGGACTGGTTTGGGGGGAACGAGGAGGAGCCAGGATGGGTGGGTGTCCCTGGTACCATGTGGGGTCACCGACAGTGCTGTCCCCATTTCCATCCCCTTCTGCTGAGCTGTTGGGATGGGTGGGACTGATTTGGGGGGAACGAGGAGGAGCCAGGACGGGATGGTGTCCCCAGTACCATGTGGGGTCACTGATGGTGCCGTCCCCATTTCCATCCTCTTCTGCTGAGCTGTTGGGATGGGTGGGACTGATTTGGGGGGAACGAGGAGGAGCCAGGATGGGGTGGTGTCCCCAGTACCATGTGGGGTCACCGATGGTGCCGTCCCCATTTCCATCCTCTTCTGCTGAGCCGTTGGGATGGTTGGTACTGATTTGGGGGGAACGAGGAGGAGCCAGGACGGGCCGGTGTCCCCAGTACCATGTGGGGTCACCGATGGTGCCGTCCCCGTTTCCATCCTCTTCTGCTGAGCCGTTGGGATGGTTGGGACTGATTTGGAGGGAACGAGGAGGAGCCAGGACGGGCCGGTGTCCCCAGTACCATGTGGGGTCACCGATGGTGCCATCCCCATTTCCATCCTCTTCTGCTGAGCTGTTGGGATGGGTGGGACTGATTTGGGGGGAACGAGGAGGAGCCAGGATAGGCTGGTGTCCCCAGTACCATGTGGGGTCACTGATGGTGCCGTCCCCATTTCCATCCCCTTCTGCTGAGCTGTTGGGATGGTTGGGACTGGTTTGGGGGGAACGAGGAGGAGCCAGGATGGGCCGGTGTCCCCAATACCATGTGGGGTCACCAATGGTGCCGTCCCCGTTTCCATCCCCTTCTGCTGAGCTGTTGGGATGGTTGGGACTGATTTGGGGGGAACGAGGAGGAGCCAGGACGGGCCAATGTCCCCAGTACCATGTGGGGTCACCGATGGTGCTGTCCCCATTTCCATCCCCTTCTGCTGAGCCATTGGGATGGTTGGGACTGATTTGGGGGGAACGAGGAGGAGCCAGGACGGGCTGGTGTCCCCGATACCATGTGGGGTCACCAATGGTGCTGTCCCCATTTCCATCCCCTTCTGCTGAGCTGTTGGGATGGTTGGGACTGATTTGGGGGAACAAGGAGGAGCCAGGACGGGCCGGTGTCCCCGGTACCATGTGGGGTCACCGATGGTGCTGTCCCCGTTTCCATCCCCTTCTGCTGAGCCATTGGGATGGTTGGGACTGATTTGGGGGGAACGAGGAGGAGCCAGGACGGGCCGGTGTCCCCAGTGCCATGTGGAGTCACCCATGGTGCCGTTCCCGTTTCCATCCCCTTCTGCTGAGCCGTTGGGATGGTTGGGACTGGTTTGGGGGAAACGAGGAGGAGCCAGGACGGGCTGGTGTCCCCGATACCATGTGGGGTCACCCATGGTGCCGTCCCCATTTCCATCCCCTTCTGCTGAGCTGTTGGGATGGGTGGGACAGCGGGAAACTCGCCCACCCCGAGGGGTCATCCCCACTCATGAG